AGAGATCGGTAATCTTTCATTTGGTGTAATTAAGCCGGGTCATCCGCTGCATTTTAGTAAAACAACGAGGTAAGATATTTCCAGAAGTACAAGCATGGGTACCCCGGACCCTAAGGTGACGTTTACGGTAATAATTTTGTTTCAACTTATTTTTATTTATTTTAGTATAATGACGTCAACTAGTAGAGAAAATAGTCTAGTAAAGGCATCAATTAGCAGAGGAAATCGTCGTCCTTTAACTGAGGTTGAATTACAGAGAGAGGCAGACATTTTATGGGAGAATGAGGGTGAAAACGACATCGTAGACGATATATTTGAAGGGGACGAGTCTAATGAAGATTAGGTTGAAGAACAACTATCAGACAGCAACAGTAAACAAAGCGACAATGAAGACGAAATAGTGGATGAACCAATTAGAAATATTCCTAATTTACTGGGAAAAATGGTCATCGGTGGAGCACACAAGCACCAGCAAGACAGGGTCATACAAGACGAGAAACATTGTAATACATTTACCTGGCCCCAAAGGAGAAGCGAGCACAGTTCAATCTCCTGAACAATCTTGGAATTTGTTGTTCAACGAACAAATAATAGATGTTATTGTTTACTACTTTACAAAAAACACTGCGGCAAAGAATTTCTGAAATTCTGGGAATTGAAGTCCCCCCACCACAACATGATGTTCATTTAACAAAAAAAAGTTATATGCTGCTTTTGTGCAAAAGGAAAAGATAGAAAAACCAGTTTTGCGTGTTCTAATTGTCGCAGACCATATTGCATGGAACATAGAGCCCAGCTATGCTGTGAATGCGAACATCAAAATCCAAGAAACTGAAGACCTGGCTAAGAATAACTAAGACTTATATTACCAAAAGAGTTTATTTTTTTTGTTACAACTCAGGTGTAGTTTGTAGATGATAATTTCAATTTAATGTTTATCTGTTTTAATAACAATGTTTTTTGTTTGAATATTATTTTATGTTATTTTTGAATATCAACAAATATATCACTTTGTGAAATAACACACCATGGTTAAATTTTTTTCTACACATTCTAAAAATTAGATATTCTCCCAAATCCATCAAATATTCACATTTTCTGTTAATTGCTAAAACACAGCTTTGGGTTTCTAAGACCCGAGTGTGAAGTTCATGCCTTAAAAATAAGTGTGATGTACCAGGGTTAATACAGTTTTATTATTAACTGTATATAAATAAAAGCGCAAAAACTAGGTGCGATTAGACTGGTAATTAAATACGTCTAGCTTCGAAGAAGGTTCAAATCGTTCTAGTTCTATTTTGTTTACGTTTATTTACTATAAATATTGGCTATGAGTACGTATACTTGGTTGTATAGTAATTTTCAACCACTTCTAGTCTGTCAAAAAGTTACTAACTTCGCAAAAAAATACTTACTAAATTCACAAGATATTTCGGACTAAAAATAGCGAACCGACTTTAGCTCTAATAACTATCCATTACAAATTAATACTTTTTATATCTTTATCTAATGTTAAATATTAACTTCTCTCGATGATCTGGTAAAACTGGTAAAACTATTTGTATTAAAGATGATCTAAATAAGAAAGGCTATTTAAAAAATGAAAAGATTGAAATTTTCCTTGTTAAAGATTACCATATCATGATATGCAGATGTGAGAATTTACCCTTCTTACAAACTATGTACAAATTTAGTGTTGTATAATGGTTGTATATATAAAAAAAACATACTTAAAGGTTATTCATACTTAAAATTTAAGTGATATACCCTTTAAAAAAAACAAGACACTACACCGCACCAAAAACATATAAAAAAATAAAAATAATAACAGGTAGGTATATTTATTTTTTAACTCTTTAGAAAATTTGCGATTCAATCTGCTGTGGCAGGTTACACAATAAGATAAAAATTTACCAGGAATTATTCTTTCTCCACTATTTAGAACTCCTCTATCATTTTAAAGTTTCTATAAGCAGAATAGAGAAAAGACATATTTTAAATTTTAGAGCAAGACAGTAAATAAATCTCCTTGGAAGCGACACTTGACAAATATAAATGACAGGCTCATGAAGTTTATTTACGCTTAATATTTTAAAACGCAAAAAGATAATAACTACATCGATTTTTATGATTTACGGGATAAAAACAAAATGCTACTATAGTTTCAATTTATTCTTTATCCAGAGAGAAAGATTTTTTAATAGTCGGAGACATAAACGGTTAGGTCATTTTATGGGGATCCGCTCGAAATCACAAGAGGGGCGAACTTTGGAACACATGGATCTCTGCAGCGAACCTCGTAGTGTTAAACAACGGTAAAATAACCTTTGTGAGATTTACATCGGAAAGTCATATCGATATTACCCTAGCAAGCAACGGTGCTGCCAAGAAGAGCAAAGATTGGGATTTACTGGATAAGAATCGTTTCACCTTTCACCGGTAGGTAGGTACATCACGTATGAAATTGGCACTAAGGTCACACAATACGGCAATAAGAGGAAAGTATTCCATAAAGAAACAATTAAAAGAGAAATAAATAACCTATTAGAAGAAACTACCAACTTCAATGAGTTCCGAGAAAATATCATAAATGCACACAAAAGAAGTACGACAAATAGACACACCACATACAGAGTACCTTACTGGTGAAATGATCAAATCCAAAATAAGCGGAAGGTATGCTTAAGACTTATACGACTTAAGACTTATAAGAAGTACAGGAACTAAGAAAAACAGAAGGGCTTTAAAAGGGCTAAACTTACATGTTGGCAGAACTTTTGAGCCGCGTTGAAAATAGATATATAGGGCGAAGCATACAGAATTGCCATAAAGAGTCTACGGTTTGAGACTCCATATAAATCTTTCTGCAAAAAAAAATAACGAACATTCTATTTCCAAGAAAGCCTGATAACGTATTTCTATGGATAGAGAAAAATATTCGACCTGCAGAGTTTACTACTGAAGAGATCATTCAAGCAGCAAAAAATATGAAGACAGGTTTAACTCTAGAACAAGATAAAGTAACGTCAGAGGAAATAAAACTGGTAGTAAAAGAGAAACCCGAATTAATATGTAGAGTATTTAACTAACTATTGAATATGTAAGAATTCCCAAAGAAACTAAAGTTAAGAGACTGGTATTATTACCAAAACCCAGGATGAAACCAGACAAAGCCAACTCATACAGATCACTATGCTTAGTAGATTGCATAGGAAAATTCTATGGAAGTTTTATAAAAACGCCTTGAAAAAGAATTTAAAGTACTGTGAATAATTTCAGATAGAGAGTATGGTTTTAGAAAAGCCAGATCGGCTATAGATGCTGTTAAGAAGATCGCTGACACTCTAAAAAGACAACATAACAAAACTCTGTCAGACAATATAATAAATATCATAAATATTGTCAACAAATAACTGACAAACAAGTATTTATATGTAGCATATAATGAAGACATAAAGTTATCATCAGGAGTACCGCAAGGATCTGTTTTGGGACCTAAGCTATGGAATTTACTCCATAGCATATGCAGACAAGGTAACACGTTATTACATAAAAGTCAACAGGTAGATGATTAGTAATAACCTAGAGTTGGCAAGTAGCAAAGTAGATATAGCAGTACTAAAGAGACCAATACAGAGACCAAATCTGAGTTTTGATTTAAATGGTAATATTACAGAGCCGAGTAACTGTTCTAAATATTTGAGCATACACCTTGATTTAGGTTTGAGATACATGAAACACCTAATAAATGTAGTTTAGAAGGCTTAACAGAGAACCCCTGCCATAACAAAAATTATGCCAAATATAGGCGGGTCGAGTACTTATAAAAGGAAAATTTATCTCCAGGTGATACAATCGTTACTTCTATATGGGGTACCCGTATGGCTTGACGTATTAAGATTTAAAAAATATAAAGAAATATTAACAAGAACTCAAAGAAAACCTCTACTCAAGGTAAATTAGTACGTACCGGACTACATCGATGATAGCGCTACAAATGATTGCAAGTACGCTCCCCGTTCACCTCTTAGCGAAAGAACGTAAGATGTTATACTACAATTATGACAGCCACCTAACACAGATGAAAGCCAAGGTAAGAGAACAAATGGCAACTAGAATAGGAGACACAGGCAGAAAAAGGACAATGGACAAAAAAACTAATTCCAGATGTCAAATAGTGGTGTAAATGTAAGTTTAAAAGAACAAATTACTTTTTTACAGAATCCCTGACCGGACACGGCTTATTTAGGTCTTATACATATCGCACATATCGCGTAAGGAAAACTGAAGACGATTTATGGATAGAATGCGGAGTACGTGACGACGCAGAGCATTGCGTTTCCATTGCAACCAAGCAATACCATTGCAATACCAGATAATATAATGACTGTAGCCATACAAAAAGCAGAGAACTTTAACGTGATAGTAAACCTTATAACAGGAATAATTAAAAAAAGGAAACACGAAAGAGAGAGAGAGCGAGACAAGATGGGATATGAGAGAGTGACGAAAGACTGTAAGACTTTTATTTCTCATTGTATGGAACTAATCATAAGAACAAATCAAATAAAATAAGTCAAAAGATATAAGTCAAAAGTCAATGGCGTCATAACTGACATGGAGTAAGGAGGGTCAGCAGCGGGGCAGCAGAAGTAACGTTTGCTAAGAACACGTACCGGGTGACCATGGCTAGAAATGAGGTGGTTTTAGTGGGTAGGTAGTCGCGTTTTCACGATCGATTCACTTAGCTTCACGGGTGCCTGGATCGGTCAAGCGGACTGAATCCCACACACCAGGGGAGAGCACAGTACCCAGGTTGCTTAAGGTACTGCGGTCTATCCTAACAGTCTTCTGAAGGTTTCATCCAAAAAAAGGTATCATCAGTATATTGGTCGGTACATTTTGTTTATCCTAAATATTTAAAGTATAAATCGTAATTTTATTTATGTGTTTTACGATTGAGTAGAAAAAATAGTTTTTTTAATTATTCTCTCTTTTAGGAAATACACCTGTATTGTATGCTGCACCATCTAAAAAGCAAAAACCGACAATTCCTCAAAAAATTCCAGATTCACCAAGTACTAGTGGTTTTACATTTTTCGGTATTCCACTTCCAGCGCTAAACCTTAACAACATTTTTCCAAAAAAAGAAAATAATGGAGTAGCACCACAACAAGCTGAAAGAAAAAATGCGATCGTAAATAATCCACGAATGGATAAAAGACAACCTCCGATGAAAGGAGGAATGATGATACCTCAAATACACTTGGTACCTCACATTTCGCAAAATATACAGAATATTCACCAGATACAAAGACCACCGCCAGAGCTACAGGGAGGATTTATGCCTATGTTGCCAGAATCTGGAGGTTTTCAACCAATTCCGGACCCGAGGTTTACCCATACAACTACAGGGCCTCCAAACATTCAAAGGCCTATAGAAAATAGTTCTCCTTCCGAAGTATTAAGTAATATATCACAAGACACAACTACGGTGGAAAATGAAAGGTAATAATGATAAGTGGTAAACAAAATTTAAAAAAAAAAGTTAAAACTTATAATATACTGGATAGGAAACAAACAAATTTTGCCAGAGGTTAATCATTTGACCCCTAATTCCATATCGCAAATTATTATTCTACGTATCTGATTACTTGACTTACAGATGCACATATGTTTCGTGTTTTGGCATTTATTGTTAATTCCATTTTTAGGACCCCATTTAAGCTGTTAACAACTAAAAAGCTTCAGTCTGCTCTGTGGACCAATGGTGTCCACTGCATACGCGACGAATTTTTTATTAAATACTCTGTCACTCGTATTTTTCCCTACTATTTTTTAATTTATTTCTATTCCTCTACTCTTCTTTTTCAAGTAAATGAAAAATGGCTTGTAATTATCATAATTTCCAAGCTTATCGGGCAGCGATTTGGAAATATTCCTTCTTCATGTTTTGTTTCATTTTGACATTACCAAAGGAAATCCGGCTTGGTCTGATTTTTGTTAATCGGTTAGCAGAAGACATTTAACCTACTGTTGTCAAGTTATTGCTCATATTAAAAAGGCACTTTGATGTTTCATCGATAATTTTTTGAATATTTTTATTTTGCTCATCCCTGGTGCAATAAGCTAAAAAAATCGTAATTGCTTTGGTTCCTAGGCACGGTATTATAATATGCTGATATATTTATAATCTATATGAAGTTGGTGTAATTATTGCTTATCGGCGAAATGAAAGATTATGCTTTTTAAGTCGGTCTTGGTGAAAATTAAAGAAAACCTTTCTATGATCAATTAGGAGACATATTTAGAGATAGTCTATGAGAGAAGAGAGTTATAATAGGAGGTAATTTTAATCCAAAGGAGAATATGAAATGATACAAGACTAGGTTTTAAAACTAGAAATGATATGTTGGAACTAGCAATAGCTCTAGATGGGCCCTATAAAAGTAGACCAAATCATTCGTAAATCAAGTATTTGATGATAAAAAGATAATATACGTGAATATAGAGACCGTAAATGAAATAGGGGCCAACACATAGAAGATAAGAGCGCATATCGGAAAAGTTGAATCCACCTTCAAATGGACGAGGGTCTCCTCCCAAAGCCACAATCTCTGTCTTTTAATACAAGTAAAAATGCTGCGATACTACGTCTTCTCTGCTCTGTTGAACATTGAATGAAGATATGTGCAAGAGATTAGAAGCGTTTGATATGTGGCTGTATTAAAGAATGTTCAAGATACCGTGGACTGGCCGGATTACAAATTAAAAGGTTCCGAAGAATGAAGAAAATCTTGGAGGTACTGAATACCACCAACTCTCGAAAGCCATAGTACTTCGGATATATTAAGCGAAATTAATTCAGATATGTTCTACTAGAAGCCATCCTGTATGGAAAATTTGAGAGGCCAGAACTAGAAAATCGAAGAACGTTCTAGTTTAAAAACCTCACAATATGTGCAGCTTATCCGCGTTGCTGAAGATAAGATAAATATTGCTATGATGATCGCCAAGGTAATAGTTAGCGAGACTAACTAGTTAGAGTGAACTAAAACTGTAAGTTATTTGCACTAGACATTAAAATGGGAAGCAAAACGAAACTAAAATATTTCTCTGAGAATGAGTCTCTCTCTCTTGTTGTCAACCACAATGTAACTTCTAAAATTTTTGAAATTTTTTTTAAACTGTGTTTGCTTTGTCTAGTGTTCATCATCATCATTTTGGCTTTACAACCCTGTGTGGGCCCTAGCCTCCCCAAGGATTCTCTTCCAGTCGTCCCTATCCATCGCCTTCCTCCGCCAAGCACGTATTTACATATTTCTCATATCTTGGTCTATGTTATCTAGGAATCTTGTTCTGGGTCTTCTTCTTTGACCAATAGGTCTATCAAGGAGCGTTTCGCTAGCTGGGTCGGTTTGCTCCATCCGCATTACATGGCCTACCCACCTCAGACGTCCTATTTTAATGTGTTTTTTGTCTAGTGTTAGTTTTGTGAAAATGAATTATTTAATGTTTATAACATTCATCGAAGTACTGGATAGCCTACATTTTTGATAAAATGCCGCTTAAGATACTCTGAGAGCGAAAGTACTTGGGCAAGATTTAATAAAAAACTGTGCTCGATATCTGCTTTTTGTTTTATCAAACTTCATATATTCGAGCATTCAACCATATATCACTTTTGTATATTTATTCATTCGTTCGGTCTTTACACGGATAGTATCATCTTTTTCGAGGTCTTTTTACTGATATTCTACAGGCGATATTTTACTGATTTCCATTTTTTGATGACGTCGGTCGTCAATGTATATGTGGGAGTAAAAAGGTGAGAGAAAGACTATAGCCCTGTATCACTCTTCGTTAATTTTGATTTCTACTGTCCTTTTCTCCCCAGCGGTTGTCATTCTTTATTTCCTAACTTTAACTCGGTCAATTCGGTCAAAAGCTTTATCGAAGTCAATGTAAAGTATTTCACTGTCTTTCTCGATAAGTTGTATGATTATAAATATATTATCACTGCATGAGTGCCCTTTTAAGCATCCATTTTGTACTTTTTGAATAAGTATTTCGGTTAAAACCTTTAGTCCGTTAAGGATCTTTACGTAGATTTTATATACAGGAAATATATACATTTGGTAAAATAATGCCTCTATTATAGTTTCTTATAAGCTCCGTTTATTCCATAGGTCTGGAATTTCGTCTCTCTGGCAGCACATATTAAGAAGGTAGGGACATCGTAAAGTCGCAGTAAATACAGCGTATTTAATTAATTCTGTATTTATACGATCTACCTCTGCAGCTTTCCTATTTTTATATTTTTAAGTTGCTATTTCATCAACTTCTTTGATTTTGCTACTATCGTATTAATCTGTGTTGACTTTGGATTGCTTCTAATTTTTACCAGATTGGCTTGTAGTTTATCCATTCGACTTTTTTGATTACGTTTAGTTTATCCACAACGTTTTCTGTCTCGTTGAAATGCCTTTTTTTGAAAATTACTGTTGATTGAGAATTACCGTTGAAATTACTTTTTATGTTCACATCTGTGTTGGATGTTCGATATAAATAATAAAATTATCCTAGAGTTGTTATTAAACTTATCATGTAAGCTGTCTAGGAAAATTTCTTTTTTGATTGTATATGACTTTAACTTCTTGTGTAATTTTAAGTCGAAAATCTATATAGCTAAGCATTCCGCGTCTCATTCTCATATCGCTGTTTGTGGTTCTTCTTCGGTCATCAATCGTATTTTTTGTATTTGTATCTTTTATTTTTTTCATTATTACTTCATTTGCTGAATTTTCTATGCAAACTTTGAACCCTTTTGATCCCTTGTGCTTATTTGTTATAGTAGGTGCTCTTTATTTAATTTTTGAACTAAGGCTTTTTTGCGATTAATTTCTTGTATTTAGCTACTTACGATATTATACGTAGCGATAAAAAATAGTCTGAGTAGATGTCGCTGCCTCTACAGGCACTGCTCGTGTCTTGTATAAGATCTTTTATCTCAGGTTGTGAGTTGTATTAGTTCGTCCCCATTTTGATTGGCTCGGTTCTCGCCAAAGGTTCCACGTTAAGTACTTTTTTTATATAAATATTAACATGTATTTCATTTTTAGCGATGAATCTGAAGAGTATCCAGATATTGATGACGACATCAAACCGTTAGAAAATCAGTTGCAGGAAAAAAATTATAATTTAGAACAAATAACCAATAGAAGTTCGCTACTTATCTCGGCTGATAGTACATCACAGAACAATAACAGAAACAAGAAAAGTCAATTGGTAGATGGAAAGATTAATATTACCCGATTAGAAAGTATTGCAAACGTTCAAATATTTAATAAGAGCGAATCCCACAGTTTTATTAAAGAGTAAGTAAATTACAGTTATTGCATTAAATTATAAAACTATAATATAATCACATAAGCAGATAAAACAGTTATATTGAGTACTGACATAATTGGACTTTAAGGCATTTTAAATGCTATCGACACCGTGGGACAAGAGCTAACACTAACTATTAACTGTTTTAAAAGAGAATAAAAATCATTTAGTCAAATATACTATTGTACTATACAAAGAATATCCAATCTGAAATATCTTGGTTGCTATATTATCGAATAACTACATCCAGATAAAAAGATAAAATGTAGAATTCTGATAAAACTCATGATCAACTGTTATATAGTCAGCTCTATGATACGATGTCGAAACATCGGCCTTGAATGTATCCACTATTAATTGCTTAAAGACTTTTAAGATGTGGTTATATAGAGGAACCCTAAAAATACCGTGGACATTAATGTAAACAAGCGAAGCAGTTCTGACTGACTGTTTGTTACGTTTGTTAGGCGAGGTACGAGTACCTACGTAAATCAGCCTGATCATGGTGACGATACAAGGAATAGCGGTGTCTTATTACTAATTATACGAGAAACTGATTAAATTGAGAGTGAGCATGATGCAGGGTCAATCACCAATGGTGGAAAACCTGGATCGTCGACGTGACGGCCTGGGGTTCACAGGGAACTGTATTGTGTCCTACGCTATGGAATCTAGAATATCACGGGGTTATGAACTGTGAATAAAGAAATGGCACAACCCCCTTCGAATTCGCGGAAGATATCGCTGCGCTGGTAATGACGAGGGATAATCCAGATCTCAAATACCGCTGACTGAAACTCGCTGCAGAGAAGACTGAAGCTATCATTCTGAAGAGGAAAAGAAACTGGCAAAGGATGAAACTATAATGTGCAGAACGTGTTTGATACCCAAGAATCACGTAAAGTACCTGAAAGTGACGTTGCACCAGAATGAAAAGTGGGGGAATACGTGCGGGAAGTGACCCGAAAGGTTGCAAATAGTGCGGCTGCACTGGCGAATAGTACCCAAGGTTTGAGGATCCAAACCCGAAAGGAGGAGGACCTTACACAGTATTGTGCAGTCGATTGATCTCTATGCGGCAACAGTCTGGAGTTTTATGGCATGAGCAGAGATAGCAAGTCTTCTTCGAGTTGCATGCGCATAAAGGACTGTGAGTCTTATGACCTTGTGTGTCATCATTTGATGTTTTCCTCTGCATGTGTTGGTAGTGGAAAGAGAACAGTTGCCTGAGAGAAGAGACATAGATCTTACTATGGGCAAGAGAAGACAGAAAGTTAGTAAAGGAAAGGAAATCAATTGAAAGATGGCAAAAAAAATGGAACAATATGGAGGATACGGCAAAGTAAACAAATATGCTGATTCCGAACCAAAGAGGTTGGCTGGACTGCGATCAAAAGCGACTGGATTATTTCCGACCACAGGTGCTCACAGAGCATGAGTGTTTTAGGGCCTACCTAACTAGGTTAGGAAAGGCTGACACGGATGAATGCCTATATATACTGCAGATACCCGGACACTGTGACACATTCGATGGTATACTTAGTGCAACAGAAAGTTAAAAGGAACAGAATGGAAAGAGAGGCAGTAGTGAAGTTTGTGATAGCGAGAGAAATGATTGAGATAATGATTGAAAATAAAGCAGGTTGAACTAGTGTACATAACCTATATCCGTGTTATATCCGTGCAGTAACCAAGAAGAACCAACGGCAAAAGTAAGAGGGAAAGACATTGTAAGTTGAGGGTAGAGCGAATACGAGTCAAGTCAATATCCAAGTGACCCAGATTGTGTGGATCAAAATGGGAGAGAAGGAAATACTCATGTGGAAGTAATGCCGTTCCAGGAGCTATTACGGCCTTCTAAGTGCTACCTGGAACAGCGTTTCTCTAAAAATATCCCAATTTTTTTAATCCAAAAAAAAGGGAGACATGGAAAAACGACCGGGAGCCTTCTTGTTGACAGTCTGTGGATAAATGAGGGTAGTACTTCGGAAGTGATGCTCGGTCTTACAGCGGCCATTCCACTTCCAGAGCGCTAAATAATAGAGGAGGGTCTGTTTTAGCAGGTATAAAAAACTGGAAATCTGTGCAGGGTTATCAATATGAAGAGATGCTACAGAAGTGGTAATAAATTAAAGATATCCAATTAAGATACCATAGAGTAAAATTAACGAAAAAATTATATCCAAAATGTGTTTCTAAATGACAATACTCCTTTCATCGAATTATAACCAACGTGGTGTACTAACAGGTCACATAGTAGAAGATGTCAGAAAACAGAAAAAGGACTTAGTGTCAACAATCTGTATTTTCGGTTGTATAAAAAACATATTTCATGCTAAAAACAGACAAAAAGTGATTATAATCTTCTGCTCGCTACAAAAAAATTGTCTTAAGACTTCAAAAATTTCAACTCCGGGTAATTTTAGGTGTTTTCGCTACAAACACACACGCACACACACACACACACACACACACACCACACACACACACACACACACACACACACACACACATACACACACACACACATACACATACACACACACAAACACACACACATACACACACATACACACATACGTCAGTCAGATATTTATTAATAATGTACAATGGACAAAGTTGACAAAGGAACATACAGTTGTTGAGAAAATGTAGAGGTGCCATCTGAACATATTATTTGCAACTACAAGACAATCGTCTGCCATCGCCACGAATAGATAGAACGAATCTTTTTTGAACCTGACCATGTATTAAACATATCTCTGAATTATTTTTAAATATCTTATTTGAATTAAGTTTTTTTTAGGTATTCACCTGCGAGTTCTTCAATATCTGAAGATACGTTATCATCGACGGTTAAAGCTGACGAAGCCAAAATTGCGTTGGTTAGAGAAACAACATCTTTACCAGAACCTGCAACTCCTATAATAACACCTCAAAAAGTAACGGACAAATCAAGTCAAATAGAACTGATAAAAAATATGGAAAAAACAAGTATACTTGATAATCCTCAGTCAATTAAACCATTTGAGCCAACTGTTATTACCTCCTATGAAGATGAAGTTAAAGATCCGGAATTATCTGGCATGGAAACGCAGATAAAAGAGACTGAACAAAAATTTGTTACAACAGAAATGCCAAAAAATGATAATAAACCTGTATTAAAATTAGAGAAACACAATTCTTCTGGTAGTGTATATATATTCTAATATTTTTTATATAAATTTTTCTGTTGTTCCATTTTAATGTTGAGTATACTTGTGAATTTGAATTTCAGGTCCTCTAGATAATTTGTTCTTTTGGAATTTTTGTCAGATTTTGACAGACCTACATTAGTTTTTTTTATTTTATCTATTGAAGTTCTAGTTTTGTCAAAGTTTGATTTTGATTGAATATTTTTTACTAGATCTCGGGACCTGTAGAAGAAGGAGTGAATAAATAAAATTAATGACCAACAGAACAAACGCAGAAATACATTTTTATACTGCTTTATTCAGAATAAAAATATTAATATATATCCCAAGTGAAAATCAAAACGTCAAAAACGTATTATCAAGTGAAATTGTGGTTAATTTCTATTACAGATAGTAAACAAAAATATTGTAGTAAGAAACCTGCCACAAAAATATTAAGTTTTTTGTTTTTACGATTTAAAACTTAAGTAACTCTTGTTTACACTTTTTCATTTTTCGTCAAATTCAGTGTGTTTATGGCTCGTATGGCGTAGGTTAATATTACTAAATCAGTTGAACAATCACCAAAACTTCTATATACTATCACTGGGGTATAAAGTCACTTAAATTTAGATATTTTTTCTCCCTGGGCCCATCTGATCCAAAAGATCTCTATTATCATAAAGCTGAATCTTATTGTGTTTGCTGCTCATGGTTGTTTTCTACACTTATTCTAGAATTTTGTACCCTGTAGAAGTTTGTACAGGTCTTTTGCTTGGTATGTCTTAAATATACTGGGATCTACTCTTGGTTGCTGATACAGTTTTTGTGTTTTACGGTCCAGCGCATCGTAATCGCATAATACATGTTTTACAGTTTGCAGTTCCTTATCACAGAGTCTGCAGTTAAGGTCTCCATTGTAAATACCTATTTTATATGCTGGTGCATACCCGGTCAACATTTCTGTTACTATTCTTGTTCTTTCCTGTCTTTTGTTCCTGTACATATGAAGCAGTTTCTTGTTCTTTTTCTACATGGTCCACCAATAGAGACTTTTCCATGTGTTTGTTTTGTGATTCTCCAATCTCGCTCATGGCTCTCTCTGGCTCACTCCTATACAGCCCTATAAACTGCAGTCTTTAGTACTCCCAGAGATACAGCTGGTTTGTTTGATTTGTTATATCCTCTTTTTCCTAGTTGATCTGCTTTTTCCTTGCCTTCGATGACCTGATGCATTGGTACCCAGACAAGCTCAACCTTGTTCAGGCCGCCTAGTTGACTTAGTTCTTTGATGCAGCCCCACAGCAGCCTAGACATCACTTCCTGATACGCCAGTGCCTTCAGTATAATTTGACTGTCAAAAAATATATGGATTTGCTCTTTTTTAAGAACTCTCATTATCTCCTTTTGTATATTGCAGTATCGCACAAATCTCTGCTGGAAAAACGGTGCAGTTCCTTTTCAAGGCAAAGCTTTCGCTAATTCTTGGATTATTGGAGTATGTTTCTACCGCACACCCTCTCTAGTTTTAAATCCGTCAGTATATCAGATCTTACCGTGTTGGTTATGGTACTCTTTGTTTCTCCATACATTTCTGTGTGGAATAGGCACCCTATATTATATTCGTAAAATTATTTATTTTTTATTATGTGATCTAGTTTCTCAATAAAAAGTCCTTTGTCACAGTTCGTGTGATACTTACATGCCCTGTCCCTTCATTGCAAAGTTTGAGTGATTATTTTATTCTGTAGGCTACGAGGCAGGCCTAGTAGAGCCTCCATAGCTGCTGTTGGAGTAGTACGCATGTCACTAGTTATCCCCATACACGCAAGTGTATGATGAGTTTGACTTTTGCAGCTGTTTGAAGTGTCTTAGTCCACCAAATCGTCGCTGCTTAGGTAATTGAGGGTTTGATCACCATGGTGTATACACAGTGCATCATGTCCGGTTTTAATCCCCGTTTCTTCCCATACATACGCCTGACCCACATAAGTGTTGTAACTGCTCTACTTGGTATTTTTTCTAATTGCCTCTTTACCTCTACCTTTAGGTATGTACCCACAGGCTACACTACTTCTGACTACATTGCATATACTGGTGTACAAAAGTTTCGGTCCCTTTTGTAATAACACTGAATATATATCATTCATTCCTCGTGATTTAGGCAGCACGCATGAGTTTATTCCCCATGCTAATTTTTCGTAGCTTACAATATTTTTGAGTATCTGTCAGTTAGTTTTTGAGGCTCTCTGCAGAGTCTCGTTGCCTACTTATACCCAGTCAGTTGGTGATTTAAGTATTTGTGATATACTCGCCCTTGTCATTCAGCCAGTGAGTTAATTGGTTGTTTCTTTTTCTTTTAGTGCACCTTAGCCACATTAAAGTCATGCACAAGAATGAGTGCTTTTAATTTCCTCATAGTCCTTCCTCCATGTATCTCTCTTGGCTTTTCTTATAGCTGTATAGTAGTATTCCGTCCATGTGGTTTTGTATTCTTACCACTCATTGGATACTTTGGCTCTGTTAAATAGCTTTTTCGTCCTTTTCCTTAATACAGAGCGTTCTTTATTTTACCATGGCATGTCCCTGGTGGAACTTTTCTCCGTAAGAGGGCAGGTTTCTTGGAATTCTTTAGGAATCATTCATTGCCATTTCTAGATCTGATGGACAGATAACGCAATAAATAAATATATTATAATAGTAGTGATGCGCAATTTTTTAGAAGTGCACCAAAAACTAGGAAAAAAAATTTTGACCGCCGATAGGAATTTTTTAATTGAAAAAAGACTTTTTACGATATCAAAATAAAGCTGTACATATTTTGATAATAGTAAATGACAACATTATATATTGGTTCAAATTGGGACGTAGTCATTCGTAAGAGTGGGCTGAGGTTTTATTCAGGAATCAATTAGGAGATGAATACATTCAAAAGTGGATAGATAAAGTATAACAGCAAATCTCACAGCTTTTAAGCCTACTTTCTTCCACTTTTAGCTTAATTTTCTTCTATTTCTATTTTTCAACGTTTCTTGAATATTCGACTTTTCGACTTATTTGAAGAACTCTTTGATAGTTGTGTACTTGTCATAATACATTGAATTCCATTGACCTTCTTTACATTTCTCCGATTTTTTTATTTTTATCATATATAATACAATGTTAGCTAAGGTAGAACTTCAGATTATATCAAATATGTTAGATTGATCATATAAGTATATTGATGCTAGTTGTCTAGATGATAGTGTTGATGAAACAGATTTCTTAATAGACAGTAAAGGACAGGAAATCTCTAGTGATGACAGTATCATAGTGATAAAAATAATTCCTTTGATAGTGAAGAAAATCGTACTCAACCTACCAAAATCTAGCGCCCAGGCATGGTCTGGAAAGCAGTTTCCTCAGAGGAACATCCGAGAAACAAACTGAAATTGTTGGGAAATATACCATACGACAGAGAAATGAATGAAGTTTGCAAATTATGTAAGGATTTCTTTGACGCTAAAATATTTGAATTCCTCATACGTAGGAGTACTTTTTTAGTATTTTTTTTTGTTTCCTTGTTTTACCACTTTATTACTGTTATTAATACTACAGCGGTACAGCTCAAATTGAGCCTTGGCCTCCTTTATTTTTTCCCTCCACCCTCGCTTGTCTGTGGCTGATCTTCGTCAGTGTTTACTGTGCCGTTACTAATACTACCTTACCTAATACTAACTTATTTTTTTACTTTTAATGATTATTTTACTAAGCAACGCTATATATAAGTTTAAGGTCCCTATTCTTCCATACATTTTACGTTCGTCCTTGTCTGCATTTATTGAAGTACTACCAATATTGTCTTATTTATTTTTTTATACGTAATTTTTAACTACTTTCAGGTTCTCTCCTTTCGACGTTACTAGTACCAGGTGGTAATCAACCTCTTTTTAAACCCACAGCCAGATCAACCATCACTAAAGTAGCATCGCCACATGAAGGAAATATTAACGATCCTCTAGTATCTACAATACAAGTGTCCGAATCGGAAAATGGCAAAGTGAAAACAGAAAAAGAATTTAATAAGCTGGAAGAGAATATTATAACATCCACTGAAGAAGGCAGTAACGAAAATTGGTACTTCGAGAACTACAACAAGAAAAATTTGGAACCGTTTGTAGCTAAAGTTGTTAATGATAAAAACTTGGCAGTGAAGAGGGAGTTTTATAGTGTGTTTATATTATTATCATTTATAACTGCGGTTTTGCGGTAAACTGAAAGTAAAAGATAGGACTAAATAGTAAATGTTTCTATGAATCATTTTTTAGATGCTCTGTATTATTCAAAACTGTATGTATCTGATAATGTAAAATTATGTGTTTAACTTAGCTAAGTAAAAATATATTAAAATTAATGTTAAAACATTAGACTTTTTTATATTATCAACACGGTCCTTGAATATACTTAATATTTTAACAATATAAAATATGTCAATAAGTTATCTGGAGAACGCTTCTTAAGTTAGCATCTCAACGCATACTACAAAATGTTCTACGTTAGAATTAAATTTACGTTTTAAACCAATTTCCCCTAGCTTTCGGATCACTAATAGATTTAAATGGAAAAACATCCTTTTTTTTTAATTCCATAATACTCAGCTTGAAAAACACTGACGTCTTTTCAAAATCAAGTAGGCAAGATTCGGTATTTAAATTTGATAGTAAGGTTTTTAATTTAATATAACTCAAAAATAACATAATTAACGCAGCAACAGAATCACCTGGAGAGAGGAAAGTAACGAACACTAACATATAAAAAAAAACACCTTAGTTTAAAGAGGAAGTGAATACACAATGTGAAGAAAAGAAGAAAGCCTTTGTACAATACAGAACACAACAAACACAACAGGTATACAACCACTATAAACGAATCAGAAATGAAACAAATACTTTAGTTAGACAAATAAAAAGGGAACACTGGCAGACTTTCTCAAAACAGATGGAACACGATTTCTACGGAACACAAAAAAGAAATATGGAGAATGATCAGAGGACAAAGAAAAGAGATGAACGAACTAATAAAAATGAAACAAATTCAGGAGGAAACATAGGTAGACTACTTTCGATCCCTATTTTCTAAAGGTGACGATAATGAACCACCAACACCAGAGGTGACGACAAACGAAGAAATAAATATTGAGGAGGAAGAGGTGAAGAAAGCATTAAGGAAATTAAAAAATAGATAATCACCAGGAGAGGACAGCATACCGAACGAACTCCTAAAGTGCAGAGGACCAGATCTAACCAAACAACTATTAAAACTAATCCAAAAAATAATAGAACAAAACAAAATCTCTCAAGAATGGAGATCAAGCATCCTAATACTTCTCTTCAAAAATAGAGACAAATCGGACCCGAAGAATTAAAAAGGAATTAATTTATTAAAGACAACACTAAAATTTTCACGCTATATTTATAATGAGGTAAGTGCAAGAGAAATCATTAGGATACAACAAACCGGCATATCTATGTTTCGTGGACCTTACAAAGGCATTTGACTAGGTCAAATTAAAAGACGTTATCCACTTACTGTACGCAAATGAGATATCTATAGGAATAATCAAAACGATCGAAAATATCTAACAAAAAAACACAATAAAAGTAAAAACAGAAGAAGAACTAACCGACCCTATTGAAGCTGGCAAGACAGTAGTTGGTAATTTAACGCTTTCATTTGCTTCGTTTTATACTATAGACAATTTAAGATGTTGTTCCAGGATATTTGCTTTCATCTTATTTAACAAATTTCTTGCACGAGCTGCGAAAATTTGTTCAATATGTGGATGAAATGAGGTTGAATGCTCGAATAAATGAACTTTGAAAATAAGGCTATTATCGAGCACAAGTTAATTAAATCTAGCCCAAGTACTTTCGCTTAAAATAGCATCTTCAGGGGCATTTCGTCAAAATAAGAACTATCCGGCAAGCGTAGATGGTGGAAATATTAAAAATAACATAAATTATACAAAACACTACACTAAAACGAGGACAAACAGTTTAAAATTACTTCTACGCTACATTCTCTGTCAGTATCTGGATGGATCCAAGTAATTTTAAACTGTTTGTCCTCGTTTTAGTGTAGTGTTTTGTATAATTTATGTTATTTTTAATATTTCCACAATCTACGCTTGCCGGATAGTTCTTATTTTGACGAAATGCCCCTGAAGATGCTATTTTAAGCGAAAGTACTTGGGCTAGATTTAATTAACTTGTGCTCGATAATAGCCTTATTTTCAAAGTTCAATATGTGGATGTTGTTCGTTGCATTTGATGATATCGACACATTTTGTAAGCAGAATTGTTTCGCACTTGTAATTATAACACTTCTAATACATAATTCCGATTTTTAGTTTATAAGAGTACGTTCTCTATACGAACTAAGACCATTATATTAGTTAGAATTATAATAAATTCTACACATTATAATAGGTAGAAAATCACTGATGTTTCTTAATTTAAATGTTTATAGACATTCCTGATCAGCTATAACCAATTACAGGGTTTAATATAATAATAGGCAATTACACAGTTTTTTATGAAATATGAAATAAGTTCATATTCATTCAATTCATTCATCAGTTCAAAAATGTTCATCCTGATATTGGTCCGTTAAAGTGATAAACGACATTTTAATTTCAACTCTAAAACAAAGGTGCAGTATAAAAGTGTTACTTCTTCTGGACTAAAAACTGTAAGTTTGATTTTTGTATTTCATCCATAACAAATCAAGGGTAAACAACTATTTTGCCGATTTAGCGTGAGGTTAATTACCAGTCCTTCCGGTAATACTCCATTATAAGCACCAGGGCCGTATTCAGGTTATTTAGCCCAAGCATGGAAATTGATTCAGCAGCGGGAACTTCCACCATGGTAAGTTCTGGCAATCTACTTATAAACCAACCATCAAAATTATATTTTATAGCTCTTAATCAACCTACAAATAAATCTGCAAACAAAAAAATAACCAATTCTACTTCACTCACTGCCAAACTCGAATATCGAAGTTTACCTTAATGCAGTAACTTCTTAAGTGGATCCCAGAAAAATACATTTTATTTCTAAAATTATAAATAATCGTATTTATATCTTCTTTATCAGTGAACAGACAGTCGATGAGTTTTTAGCAAACGACAATGGAATTGTAGTAATTAATCAAGAACGTATTCAAGCCCGAAGACTAATAACTCCAAATGAACGATTGATTATTTCCAACGTATGTCAAAGTATTCCGCACAGCGTTATAGAAGAACAACTGAAAAACTTAAGTATACATCTAATAAATCCAATTGACTTTCTCAGGATCGGGACTTAAATCCAGCATTCAAGCATATCTTGAGTTTCCCACGATACAATTTTATAACGCAAACTCACTTAGACAAATAACCTTATTCTATGTTAATTAATCAGTGTCCCAATGAAAATAATTGGACTCCGTCAAACAACACCCAACATAATGTTTATCTAAACTCTTTATCGGAAGTACACCAATCTACCCCTCTTTCGACAATTTCTTCTACTCTTCGTCTTTTGTTCTCAAATTCTGTTTTTCTCTCTCTAGTACGTCTAAGTATGTAATTCTTATTTGCTTTATTACTTTCTTGTATAGTTTGTTTGCATTCTTCATCGAACCATGTTTCTTCTCTCCGTTGTGTCTTTGTTTCTAGGACTTCTTTCGCTGTGTTGAGTATGATACTACTTATGGTGTTCCATTGATTTTCTATTGTGGAGTTTGCTCTGTTTTCTTCGCTCAACTTCTTGTACCACCTTAATGGTTTTCTTTCACAGGGGTAGTACGAGTTTAGTTGATCTTGCTGATCGACACCCCCCATAAGCTTATAATAATTAAAAATTGCAGTAGGTTTTTCTCTGGGTCTTTTCCTTTTATCTGGGTCTATTCTTTATATCAACAAATTCCGTCATTTCATTTCCAAAGTCATTAAGATATAAGGTCGCATTTGTCCTTCCAGTTACCAACTTAAATATTATCAGAAAAACAAGCAATTCGCTCACTTTTTTTAGTTATTTTCAATAATGCTTTGGGATTATGCTTCCTTCTTACATTTAGTGTTTCAGTTCAGTAAGTACTTCGATTTGTTAACATTTTAGCTAGTTCATACGAATTATAAAAATTGTCCATGTATATACTATGTCCTTGGTCTAAATATTCCCGAAGTAGCTCTAGAACTATTGTTGTTGTGTGGCCTTTTCCACCGGCATCATCCAGGGCTCCAGTGTAGACCCAAAGATTTTAGAACTAAACCACTTGGCTCTGTAAGAATATAAAGTTTTATCCCGTATTTATGACGCTTGTTCTTAATATATTGTCGGAATACTAAGCGTCCACGCCATAGTACCGTTGACTCATCAAGGGAAAGGTTTTTTCCAGGATAATAAACAGTAGACATTTTATTATTAAAAAATGTTATTATAGGTCGTACTTTGTACAACCGATCTTGAGCTTCTTCTCCACTGGCTGGGTTTCTAGCAGAATGTAAGCACCTCATTTTGGTTAAGGAAACGATCCTTACTCATATGCTTCAAAAAACCTTTTAAATTAAATAACGAATAAAATTTCCAGTAATCATTGAGTTTATTTAATATGATGGTTCCAGTGTAAATCAATAGTGCAACAAATTGTAACATTTCTTCTCGTGAAACTGGCTGCCAGTTTATAATTCTTGATTTATCTCGTAGATTTTTAGAAAGGAATACCTCTTCTGCATACAAGTTGGTTTCAATAACGACTAAATCCAAAATGTCGTTTTAGAATAATCGATTGACCGCGCTAATTTGCATCCCTTACTCTAGCATGCCCGAATGCCGAATACCGCGAATGCCATCTCATTCGGGAATTCGAAAAACGGCAAACATATTTAAAATACTTTGTGCCTTAGTAACACGCTAACAAGATTTGAATTATCTGCTGCATACGCATATTTAAAATGCTCTATTAAATATATCTGGTCAAATGTCACAACAGTATGTCGTCAGTAGGTACCTGACAAAATAGCTTAAGGTCACGAATGCGTGACATCAGCAGTGAAAGTTTTAATACATGCTATCCAGGAGTGCTAATACATATAATGGTTCCTATAACAACGCGACAAATGTATTAATGATGGCGATAATAGACAGTTGCCACCCCAACATCCAACTGAACCAGGAACAAGCAAAACTGGCTCAAATAAAACTGGAGATTCAATAGGTGAGACAC